AAAAAAAAAAAAAAAAAAAAAAAACTACCCAATCAGAGGAACAACCACAACAAAAAGAATTTAAAGAAATGTAACAGGACTGCAGCAATTATGGGACACTATCAAGCTAAGCAACTTACACATAATTGTAGTACCCAAAAGAGATGTAATAGAGACCAAGAAAGCATATTTGAGAAAATAATAACTGAAAATTTCCCAACTATGGAGAAAGATGTCAGCATCCAGGTACAGGAAGCTCAGAGGTCACCAGTCAAATTCAATCCAAAGAGGAACACCCCAAGGCACATTCACAATCAAATCATCAAAAACCAAAGACAAAGAAAGAACACTGAAAGCAGGAAGAGAAAAGAAACACGTAACATTCAATGGAACCCCAGTGTGGCTTTCAGAGGATCTTTCAGTAGAACCTATACAGGCCAGAAGAGAGTGGGATGATATACTCAAGGTGCTGAAGGAAAAAAGACTGTCAACCAGGAGTTCTCTATCCAGAATACATAACCTTCAAATAGGAAAGAGAAATAAAGACTTTCTTAGATGAACAAAAGTTAAGGGAATTCATCAATACTAGACCTGCCTTACAAGAAATGCTAAAGGAAGTTCTTCAGTCTGAAAGGAGATGATGCTAAAGTGTAACCAGAAAACATCTGAAGGTATAAAACTCACTAGTAAAGTAAGTACACAGGCAAATTCAGAATATGCTGATGCCGTAAGGGTGGTGAATAAACCACTTGTACCTTTAGTACAAAGACTAAAAGACAAACCTATTAAATATAATAACAAATACAACAACTGTATAAGAGAGAGGCAATTTGAAAGGATATAACTTGAAAAACCAAAATGTCAAGAAGGGGGGGGGGGGGTATAACATCAAAACATAGAGTCTGCTTTGGTTTATTCTTTTCTTTTTTTCTTAGCAATCAAAGTTGATTTGTTATTAGCTTATAAAAAACCTTTTATAACTATAACATGTTTTTTGTAAGCCTCATGGTAATCATAACACAGACACTGCTAAAAGATATACTAAAAATAAATAGTGTGAAATCAAAATGTACTACTAGAGGAAATCACTTAATCACAAATGAAGACAGTAAGATAGGAAAAAAGGATCTACAAAACAACTAGGAAGAAGGTAACAAAGTGGCAGTAACAAGTCCCTATCAAGTGATAATAACTCTAAATGTAAACAGACTAAATTCCCCAATTAAAAGACACAAAGTGGCTGAATGGATTATAGGACATGAACCAACAATATGCTGTCTACGAGAAACTCACTTCACCTATAAAGACACACATAGACTGAAAGTGAAGGGATGGAAAAAGATAGCTCATGCAAATTAAAATAAAAAAAGAGCAGGAGTAGCTATACCTATATCACATAAAATAGACTTCAAGTCTAGGAAAGCAAAAAAATACACGAAGGTCATTATATAATGATAAAACAATCAATTCAACAAGATGATACAACAATTCTAAATATATATGCACCCATCACTGGAGCACTAAGACACATAAAGCAAATATCATTAGACCTAATGGGACAGATAGACTCCAACACAATAATAGTTGGGGACTTTAACATCCCACTTTCAGCATTGGACAGATCATCCAGACAGAAAATTGACCAAGAAACATTAGAGTAAATTTACACACTAGACCAATTGGACCTAGCATACATTTACAGAACATTCCATCCAACAGCTGCAGAATACACTTTCTTCTCAGCAGCACATGGAACATGCTCTAGAATAGACCATATGCTAGGCCACAAAACAAGTCTCAACAAGTTCAAAAATCTGAAGTTATATAAACTATCTTTTCAGGCCACAATGGAATAAAACTAGAAATCAATAACCAAAGGAACATTGGAAACTGTACAAATAAGTGAAAATTAAACAACATGCTCCCAAACAATGAATGGGTCAAAGAGGAAATTAAAAAGGAAATTAAAATATTCCTGACAAATGAAAATGAAAACATAACATACCAGAAACTATGGAACAAATGCAGTTCTCAGAGGGAAAATCCTAGGTGTCAATTTAACCAAGAAGGTGAGATCTCTACAACGAAAACTGTAAAATATCAGTAAAAGAAATTGAAAAAAACACCAATCAATGTGAAAATATCCCATGTTCATGAGTTGGAAGAATTAATATCATCAAAATGTCCATACTACCAAAGCAATCTACAGATTCACACAATCTGTATCAAAATATTTATGACATTACTCATAGAAACAGAAAACAAACAAAAAACCTTAAAATTTGGATGAAACCACAAAAGACCCTGCATAGCCAAAGGAATCTTGAACAAAAAGAACAAAGCCAGAGGAATCACACTACCTGACTTCAAAATATACTACTATAAAGCTATAGTAACCAAAACGGCATGGTACTGGCATTAAAATGGACAAATAACAGTGGAACAAAATAGAGAGCCCAGAAATAAATACACACATTTACAGCCAACTGATTTTCAACAAAGGTGCCAAAAATGTATGTTGGGGCAAGGACAACCTCTTCAATAAATGGTGCTGGGAAAACTGGATATCCACATGCAGAAGACTGAAACTAGACCCATAGCTCTACCATACACAAAAATTAACTCAAAATGGATTAAAGACCTAGATTTAAGACCTGAAACTATGCAACTACTAGAAGAAAACATAAGAGAAACGCTGTGTTCAACAACACAAACAACAAAAGCAAAAATAGATAAATGGATAAATAGAAAAATAGATAAATGGATTTCACCCAACTAAAAAGCTCTGCACAGCAAAGGATACGATCAACAAAATGAAGAGACAACCTACAGAACGGGAGAAAGTACTTACAAACTACACATCTGACAAGGGACTAATATCCAGAATATAAAAGGAACACTAACAATTCAACAGCAAAAAAAAAAAAAAAAATGCACAAAAAAAACCCAATTGAAAAATTGGCAAAGGACCTGTACAGACATTTTTCAAAAGAAAACATACAAATGGCCAAAAGGCGCATGAAAAAATGCTCAGCTAATCATGAGAGAAATGCAAATTAAAACCACAATGACATATCATCTCTCTCCGGTTAGAATGGCTATTATCAAAAAGACAGAAAACAGTAAACGCTGGCAAGGATGCAGGGAAAAGGGAACCCTCATATATTGTTGGTGGAAATTTAAATTAATACAGCCATTATGGAAAACAGTATGGAGTTTCCTCAAAAAACTAAAAATAGATCTACCTTATGACCCGGCAATCCCATTACTGGGTATATACCCAAAGGAAAGGAAATCATTATATTGAAAAGACACCTGCACCCCATTTTCATTGGCACACTATTCATAATAGCCAGGAGATGGTATCAACCTAAATGCCCATCAACTGATCAATCGATAAAAAAAATTTGGCATATATACACAACAGAATAGTATTCAGCTGTTTAAAAAAATGAAATTTTGTCATTTGCAGCAACATGTATAGAACGAGAGACCATCGTGTTAAGTGAAGTATGCCAGGCACAGAAAGACAAATGCCATATAATCTCACTCATGTGGAATCTTAAAAAAGAGAGAGAGAGAGAGAAAAGAGGTCCTCAAAAGGTAGAAAGTAGAATAATGATTACCAGAGGCCAGGAAGGGAAGGGAGCAGGGGGGGAGGGAAAAAGGTAAATTAACAGGTACAGTGTTACATGTAGATAGAGAGAAGTTCTGATGTTCTAGGCTGCCTATTAATAACATTATATTGTACACTTCCAAATAGCTAGAGAAGAGGATCTTGACTGTAATCACCAGAAAGAAAAATGTTTACATGATGGATAGGCTCTCTACTCTAAGTGAATTGCTGTACAATATATGCATGCATTAAAACAACACATTGTGCCCCATAAATATGTACAATTTAAAATACATTTTTAAAAATGAGAACAGGGAAATTAACTGGACTTTAGAGGATGGTGATAATTTTTTTCCTAATGTCCTGATACAAAGGGCATTGGCCAGATTTCTGCAGGGCCTCAAGACTGAACTCAGCCAGAATAAAGGATTTGTCTCCAAGTCTCGAGGTCTCAGAAGACAGGCTGCAGTGTTACCAGTGTAACCACATTGCCCTAAAAGATAAGGAGAGTAGTGCAGAAGTGAGACTTGGCCAGTGCCTGTCACTTGAGAGATGATGAGATGATAGAGCCTTCACTTTTTCACAAGGTGGTAAAACTTCCCTTTTGCAAAGAATAGCATGAGCTGTTTGTAGACGTGAATCAGCCTGTTTTGCACCAACTTGAAAGCGATGCACACAATCTCCATCCCAATGATGATATAAATGGAAAAGAACAGGAAGAAGTTAGGGTGTTCTAACACAATATCCCCAAACCCAATGGTGGTCAGTGTGACAAAGCAGAAATAGAAGGCATCCTCAAAGCCCAGCTGTTTCTCCCAGAAGCAGAGGATGGCAGCTGCACAGGAAATGTAGGCAAAAACCACCAGGGCGATGACAGGGAAGGGGACATCCAGGCTCTCCACCTGCTGCCCAACCTCATCCAGTTTGCTGATGAGAGAGACTGAGAGTCTCCCTGACACCAGTTCGGGACACGAGTTGCTCCTCTCCCTGGTCGGCGGGGGCACTTGCAGTGTGTTCTGTTTCTCTCGTTCCAGAAATCTCTCAAACAGCTCTGTGTTGCAGCTTGGGGCTGAAGCACATTTGTCAGGTGAGGGGCCCGGGAGCTCTTCAGCATCGACGACGATTGAAGGGACAGCTTTGTCAGCAGACTTGGTGGCAGGCGTCCTCCGGCAGAGCCGTTCAGAGCACCCCTTGGAGGGATTGCAGGTGAAGAAAGGGAGTTTCCGGAACCAACTGTAACATGCAGATAAGATGGGTGCCAGGATGTCGCCCATGTCCATGAGGACCAGGAACATTAGGGGGATGCCAAAAAGAGCATAGAGCATGCACAGGTACTTGCCCAGCCTGGTGACAGGGTAGATATAGCCATAACCTGGAAAAGAAGACACAGCCAAGGGTTGTTGCCTGGCCCCTTCCTACCCATCCCCGAAAGCTTTCAAGAGACCTTCTGCCATTCCCCTGCTTGGCATGGCATTTTACACAATGTGTTTGAAAACACTTCTTGAAGCTCATCCACTTCTCTGCTATCAGCCTGCTCCGGCAGGAGGAGCAGGTCGTGAAACAAGCTTCTCTTTAGGATAAGGAGCAACTCGCATCCCGATCTTTGACCTGAAATGTCATCTGCAGGGGACGAGCACAGGCTTGGGGTGAGCTGATTGCCTTTCGTTCTGCCGTGGCCATTTCTGAGCATCCTCGTGAGGAGGGGCTCAGCTTACCAGGAAGGACAGGGTGAGCGCAGGTGAGGGGGCATGGGTGGCTTTGCAATCGTACTCACTAACCTCTTCATCCTCCGCGAGCCTCCCTTGCCCTCCCTGGGATGTCGGGGCGTCTCCATTTGTTTCTGTACAATAGGCACTTATTACGGGCCAACACCATGCCTGGCACACAGTGGGCAATGGATAAATGTTGGTATCCTCGCTCTCAGAGCTGATAATAGCTGCCTATTAGCACTTAACTGTAGGCTGGGTATCAGCGAACCTTTGCAGGCAGGTGTTGTTATCACCATTCACAGATGGGGAAACTGAGGCACAAAGAAATGAAGCACCTTGGCCAAGAGCACACATGTGATGTATCGTGGAGTTTGGAGTCAAACCCTCGCTGGCTCCGAAGCCAGCGCTTTCTATCTCAGGAGCATACATGGGGTGGGACCCTCCAGCCAGTAAGAACTGGTCAGCCAAGCAAAGGGGGGTGGGCTGAGGCTTCCATGCTCTTCAGGAGCCCCCTCCTTCTGCCACTCCTTACCCCCACCCTGGCATCTACAGAGGGACATCAAACCCCACAGCACCAGTGGTTGGATCTTCTGGAGTGGGCAAGCTTCAGTGACTTCAAAAAGTGCAGGAAAAAGCTTCTGTATTTAATGCCTCTGTTTAATTTTTGTCATAAAGGATGATAATATGGAAGCACTCAGCCCAATTATGTAAATTAAGTTGAAGGCACTTCCTAGGCTGGCTAAGACCCAGCCTCCTCCAGGACCACACCTCCCTGTGGCAAACTCTGGCCTCAGGCTCTGCCCTCCAGGAATGTGCAGGCATTCAGGCTGCCCACCCTCACCAGGGTCCCAAGGGTGGGGGAGGAGCTGTGGCCCTTAAAGGGTCTCAATAGATCAGTGCATCTGTCTCAAAGCACTCCATATCACTTGGCTGGTTCCAGTTAACTCCTTCATTCAATGAACATTTATTGAGTGCTTTCTGTATGAACTAGGAACATAGTAGTGAGCAAAGTAGATATGGGATTCAAACTTGCTGAGTTTCTGGTTAGTGGGGGAGACAAATATTAATCAGATAACCACACTAGTGAGTATGTAATTACAAATGGAGATCAATAACAGGAAGTAAAAGAGCAGACTGCTCTACTAGTGATTAGAATGAAGCCACCTATCCTGGACGTAGGCTCAGGAAAGACTTCCTGGTGAGATGACTCTTAAGCTGAGATTGCGAGGGGGACCAAGAATTAGCCAGGTGAAGAGAGAAAAAGCAGCATGTGCAAAGGTCCTGTGGCAGGTTTGAGAAAGAGTTATTCATATGTGAGGCAACTTGTGCCCTGCAAATATATCAACAGAGTGACTGGGAATCAAAATCCAGCCGACAGTGTACTTACCAAGCTATGAGCTCAGGGCTCAGGGCACAGGACTGTGCCTAGAAGAGATGCAGTCTTCTAATTTTTCACCAAGGTGTCACCCAGGGTTTAGCTGTCAACCTGGTTCGAGGAACCAAGAGAAGGCCAGTGTGGCCAGTGTACAGGGAGGCAGGTGGATGGGAGCTTGGAGAGATGGACAGGGTCTAAAGGCTCACATGACAAATGGGGGGAGGTGCTTTGATCAGTGTGTAGGCTGAAAAATGACAGCCCCCCCAAAAGATATCCAAATCCTAATTCCTGGGATCTGTAAGTGCTACCTTATTTGCAAAGGGGGGTCTTTGCAGATATGATTAAGGATTTCGAGATGAAATTATCCTGGATTATCTGAGTAGGCTTTGAATGCCATCATAAGTGTCCTTCTATGAGAGAGGCAGAGGGAGATTTTACACACAGAGAAGGAAGAAATATGACATCAGAGAGAAGTTGGAGTGATGCAGCCAGAAGTCAGGGACTGCTGGCAGCTACCAGAAGCTGGAAGAGGCAAGGAACTATCATCCCCTACAGCCTCCAGAAGGAGCATGGCCCTGCAGACACCTTGATTTTTGAAATCAGTTTCTGGACTCCAGAATTTGATAGAATAAACTTCTATTGTTTTAAGCTGCCAAGTTTGTGGGAATTTGTTATAGCAGCCACAGGAAACAAATACAATCAGTTTTGTATCTTTAAAAGATCACCCTGGCTGCATCACGGAAGGCTGCATCATTGGAAGGCTCCAGATGGACCCAGGAAGACCAGTGGGGAGGCTGTGGTACCTGTCCAGGTGAGAGATGATAGTGGCTTTGGCTAAGTTGGGAGCTGGAAGGAGAGAAGTGTAGGGACTGATTAGACATCAATTTTGGCAGAAATCTCAGCAGGATGGGAGGGTGGTTGGGACTCAGGGTGTCAGAAAGGTGCTGGGGATTCAAGCACAGCAGGCACTCCTGAATCCATGGTTAATGTGTTGATTAGTTGATGAGTCCCCACTCTGGGAGAAGTTTTGCACGCAGACTCCAGAAACACATAGAAGAGAGGCAGTGTAGCATGATGGTTAAGGACAGGCACTCTGGAACCAGACCTGAATGAACTCAAGACCTTGCTCTGTTGCTCACAGGCTCTGTGACCTTGGGCAAGGGGCTTTATTGCTTGGTGCCTCAGTTTCCCCAGGTACATAAAGGGGAGGTAATACTAGTCCCCAAGATATAGGGTAGTTGTAGCGGATTAAACAAGTACGGTCATGTGCCACATAACGTCATTTTGGGTAACAACAGACTGCATATACAACTCCTATAAGAGCATAATGGAACTGAAATATTCCTATCACCTAGTGACAGCATAGGCACCGTTATATCATAGGGCAACACGTTACTCATGTGTCTGTGGTGATGCAGGTGTAAACAAACCTACTGCAAAATATGTTAAGGTAGAGTATCCAGCTTACCCATGGGGTGACGCTCCTGAAGGTAGTTCAAACCTTTAAGATAGAAAGCCAAGCATTTGATGCATTAGGTCTGATCCCAGGTGAAAGGGTTGTTGCCTACCTTAGCATTCCTGCATTTTTCAATGACTCCCGTCCACCCCCATAGCAAAACAATAGTTAATAACAGTTAGCTAACACTCACTGAGTGCTTGCTGAGTGCTAGGCATGCTCTCTACCTGTACTTTAATCTTCATGACTTTGTGGGAGTGGTACTATTCTAACCTCCATTAAACAGATGAGAAAAGTGAGGCAGAGGGAGACAGTAACATAATCAGAGGGTCCACACTCATGCAACTAGTGGCCAGTGTAGCTAATAGGAAAATTCGTTCTTAAATAATACACTTTTGCACAGTGATGAAATCGCCTAACAATGCATTTCTCAGAATGTACCCCTGTCGTTAAGCGTCACATGACTATATTACTGCAAAGTGCTTAAAATAGTGCCTGGCCTATAGTAAGTGCACAATCTGCTGTTGTTTCTCAAGAGACCATGTTTTGTGAACCACAACAGGAGATGTGGCCTGACAAAGCATTTATGTGCCATTCCTGGTAGCAAAGGGAACTTTTGCAATATCAATTTCAGTGCTGCACAATATCTGACATCTGGACTGTTCTACAACAGCTGGGATAGGCAGCTGCCCGGCTGTGGAGATGGCTAGATACATAGCGGATCTACTCTCTCCAAAAACAACTCTGGAGCTCCTGGTAAACTTGAGAGGAAGCAAAATTTGTTTTGTGAACCACAACAGGAGATGTGGCCTGACAAAGCATTTATGTGCCATTCCTGGTAGTAAAGGGAACTTTTGCAATATCAATTTCAGTGCTGCACAATATCTGACATCTGGACTGTTCTACAACAGCTGGGATAGGCAGCTGCCCAGCTGTGGAGATGGCTAGATACATAGCGGATCTACTCTCTCCAAAAACAACTCTGGAGCTCCTGGTAAACTTGAGAGGAAGCAAAATTTAATTGCATATTTTCTTACATAAAGCACATCGTAATGTATGCACCACTGTGGAAGATCCTTTGTTCATTCATTAATTCATTCTCTTTCTTTTCAGACAGAATAATCGCTTCAACGCAAGGTGGATCTGACTGCAACCCTCAGTGGTTTCCCATCTCACTCAGGGTAGAACCAGTCTTCACAATGCCTGCAGGTCCTGTAACCCCAACCTCACCTCCCACTTTCCCCCAACTCACTCTGCTCCAGCCACTCTGAGCTGCTTACTGTCCTCAAACAATCCAGACGGCCCCTGCCTCAGGGCCTTTGCACTGACTGCTCGCTTTGCCTAGAAGATTTGCACCGCAAACAGCCCCGTGGCTTGTGCCCTCACTTCCTCCAGGTCTTTATCAAATGCCACCTTCTCAGGAGGGTCGTCCCTGACCACCCCATGTAAAACTGCAGGCTTCATTCCCTCCATCCCTACTCCCTCGTTTACTGCTCACTATAACATTCATAACTATCTGACCCACATGAGGGTACTTCAAAAAGTTCATGGGGGGCCGGCCCAGTGGCGCACTGCTACAGTACGCTGCTTGGGAAGCGCAGCGGCGCTCCCGCCGAGGGTTCGGATCCCACATACAGACTGGCCACTCACTGGCTAAGCGAGGTACGGGCGCAACACCGAGGGTTGCGATCCCGTTGCCAGTCTCGGTCTGGTACGGGCGCGACACTGAGGGTTGCGATCCGTTGCCGGTCACAAGAAAAAAAAAAAAAAGACAAAAAAAAAAAAAAAG